CATTCATTCATTCATTCATTCATTCATTCATTCAATATGCCTTTAATGCCAACAGTGTGGTCAACAGCATGCTAAGCCCTAATAATATGATTACTAAGACATGCTTTTGGCTCTCCAAGAACTCACAGTCCATGGTAGTAGGAGACAGATTAGCCACAAAGGGTGGTCACCATGCAGTGTGTTAGGGCTATGGTAGATGCTCTGAGGGGGGCTCTTAATCCCAGCTTAGGGGTGCTGGGCATGGGCTAGATGAAGTAAGCGTGGGTGTCAGGGGAGGCCTCTACTATAAGTGATGTCTAAGCTAAGCCCTCAAGGGCATATCAAAAGAATGAGGGTAAAGTGATGGCAGGTGCTCTAGGCAGAAGCATGGCAGGTGCATAGACCCAGTAGCCACACGAAGTCTAGCATATTTGGGGAGTGCTAAGTAATTCAGGATGGCTGAGGCCCAGCATACAAAAGGCAGAGGGACAAGAGATGAGCTGAGAAGGAGGCAGGCCATTAGTGTGAGGGGAAAGGGTTTGAACTTCATCCCAATGGCAGTGAGGAGACGTAGAAGGATGTGGATCCAGGTGTGACATCAGTACACTAGGCTATAACATAACCCTCATTTGTCCAGGGCTACACGGCTCACCAAGCACCGTCACATGCAGTGTTTGTGGGATGGCTCATTCGCCACCTCATTTGTACAGCACACTGGCTGAGCACCCACCATGTGCCGAACATCATACAGGGAACTGGAGATGCACATCAGGTCCCTGACCTTAAGAAGCTCCCAGTATTCTGGCAGAGACATACACAAAGAATCGTGTGTTACATTATAATCAGTGTGGGCGGCTATGATTGAGATGTTTACAAGGGTCTGTGAGCTCAGAAGAGGTAGTATCAGACTCAGATAAATCCAGGAAGGGGTGACTGTTGCATTGAACCTGGAAGGACATGTACAAATTTCTCTAGGTGAACTCAGAGAAGGGCAGTCTGGGAAGAGCAAAGAGCACGGGCACAAAGAAGAGCCTGAGGGGGGTGGAGAAGGGGTAGTGGGTGGGTTGCACAGACATGGTGGGAGACTGATTGAGTTGGAGAAGCTGAGAGGGGTAAGATCGTTAGGGGCCCGGTTGGCCATGACAGAGTCTGAACTTGATCCTGAATTGGAAGGCAATGGGGTGGGGAAATTGAATGGCATTCGCCAGAGAGGTGGTGTCATCATATTAGCATTTTAGAGACGTCACTGAGACCCCGTGTGGTGGTGTATTAGAGCACCCAGGCTGGAGGGTGGACATCAGCAAGCTCACTGATCAGGGCCCTGGGGAGGAATTTTAGGGGCCCAAACCAAGGCAGGATTGGTACGGGGCAGACACAGTTTTGAGAGCTATGTGAGAGAAAAAATTGATCCACCCTAGAGACAGGTGAGCTGTTAAATTCTCCTCTTCACTCAGAGGCTTTCTTTTCTTAAAAGGCCCCCTCCACCCTCTGCCCCACCCCTCGACCTGGTTTTTGGCTGGGAGCCCCTGTTAGCCCAGCATGCAAGGTGTATTTCACAGAACCCTCTGTACCTGCCTGAAAGATCTGGGTGCAGTAATTGTTTTGTTGTAATAATATGTATTACAGTAGTAATTACGCGGCACAGGGAGCCCAGGGAGGCTGTCATCAGTGCCACGCTATGGTATTTATCTTGATGAGATGGGGTGACCTCCTTTCTTCATGAGTGGTGGTGCATGGAGTTCCTGTTAGCACATGGAGATCAATCCCAGCCCCGCAGAAAGGGGAGGGTGTCATAGGGAATCTATGTGACCCCGACTCCCATGGCCTACCCCAGCAGGGTCTTAAATCCAGTTGATAGAACTGCTGCCACCATCTGACTATCTGTCTGCCCCAGGTCACTTCCTGGTGAGTCCAGGCTGATTCTCCCAAGGGAGTGAGGTCCGTGAGTCCCTGCATCACTTCTGCACTCCCAGCCACAGAAGGAGGTGAGACATTGTCCCTGCCCGCCTGCAGGGAGCTCCTAGTCTGATGGCAGACACAACCCTTGCATGTGCATTGCCTTTGATTCTTCTCTAGCTACTTTACATCAAAAAGTGATGGCTTGAGTGACACAAAGCAGGCACTTTGGGACCAAGGTAATTGTCCAGAGCTGGGATCAGGGCACTGTATGTCAGGGATGTGATAAAACAAATTCATCCATCCAGGCTCGGGGTCTCTCACAGCCCTGGAAATGTTCTCAGACATGTCTTCCTTGGCCTTCCTAGCATCCTCTGCTGGCTTTGACCTTGAAAATGGCCTCAGCTACCAGTCATCCTGCTCTCCCTCATGAAGGTGTTGTGTCCTGCCGCTCTAGCCTGGCGTCTGACCTTGCCCGCCTGGAGCAAGGTTTCCCGTGTACTTCTGGGCACCCAACCCTCTGACTCACCCCTGTTTTCAGCTTGCTTAACATTTGAGAGCAATGGGCAGAGGGATCCTGCGGGAGGGATGGTGAAGGAGTACCAGATTCAGAATCAAAGGGCCGGTGTGGGGGCACCTGGGTGGCTCAGTTGGTTAAGCGTCTGCCTTTGGCTGGGGTCATGATCCCAGGGTCCTGGGATCGAGCCCTGCATCAGGCTCCCTGCTCAGAGAGGAGCTTGCTTCTCCCTCTTTCTCTGCCTGCCACTCCCCCTGCTTGTGCTCTCTCTCTTTCCGTGTCTGATAAATAATGAATAAAATCTTAAAAAAAAAAAACCCAAAAAACAACAAAACCAAAGGGCCAGCCTGCTGAGCCTGCTTCTGCGGGATCATGAGGAAGTCGTTCTGTATCCCAGAGCCTCCATCTCCTCACCTGTAAAACGGGGACACTGTCCCACAGGGTTGCCATGGTGATGGTTGATTGGTGAGCTAATAATTACAGATATCCTTTGAAAATTGCCAAGCACTGATCACATGTATTTGGCTAAGTTTTTGGTTCCTTCAACACATAATAATGGAATTCCTATTAAAATGCCAGGAACTGTTCTAGTTTCTAGGGATAAAGTAGTGGTTAAAAAACACAAAAGTCAAGGACTTCTAGTGTGAAGTGATGAAGACCAGCCTCCCTTTATCTCCCACTCATACAACCGTGAGACATGGACAGAATGTATGGACACCTATTTGGAAAATCAGAAACATAAATACTAGCAGGTGGTTTGAACACTGGAATTTGAAATTCTAGTTGAAAGAATGAGTATAAACAAGTCTATAAACCAGATTCACATAAGGTAATACTTAAAATGTCCAAGATACAAACTAAAATCACTTGACATAGAAAGAATCATGAAAATCTCAATTCACACAGGGAGACAATCAGCAGGTTCCAGTGATGAGGTGACACCTATGTTGGAATTATCTGACAAGGACTTTAAAGTAGCTATTATAAAAATGCTTGGACAGGCAATCACAAATAGTCTTGAAACAAATATTAAAATAGAAAGGCTCGGCAAAGAAATAAGAGGTATAAAGGAGAACTGAATAGAAACTCCAGAACCGAAAAATACAATAACTGAAATTTAAAAAAAAACTCGCCAGACAGACTCAGTAGCAGGACAAAGATGACGGAGGAAAGTCCGTGAACTTGAAATAGATCAATAGAAATTGTCCAGTCTGTGCACCAGGGGAAAAAGTTTGAAATATACACATACATGCACACATGAAGTCTTTGCTCTCATGGAGCTTCCGACCTGGTTGGGCATGGGGGAGGGGAAGGGAAATATCAGTAGACAATAAACAAATAAATATGTACCAGGCAGTAATAAATGTTTAAAAAAGAATAAAGCAGGGTAAAGAACAAGAGAATGACAGGGAATACTATTTTATGATGATAGTTAGAAAAGCCTTCTCCAAAGAGGTGGCAGTTGAGCAGCAGAACTGAGAGATTGAGCCATGTGGGTATGGAGGGAAAGACTGTTCTGGAAGGTGGGACCAGGAAGTGCAAAGGCCCTGAGGTGGGGATATGCTTGGAGTATTCAGGGATGGTCAGGGTTCATTGTGCATGGATGGAGGGAATGAGGAAGAGAGTGAGGGGAGATGAAATCAGAGAGGTGGGTGGGGCAAAGGTGGGAGTAGGGAGACATTGCAGTAGACCAGCAATAAATGATGGTGGCTGGGCCCAGAGAGGTAGCAGTGGAGGGTGAGGGAGTTGGATTCTGGGTATATTTTATAGAGATGGCAAGCTTTGCAGGTGTTCCCTGAGCCAAGGGGGAAACATAGCTTCCATTTTGGACCTGTTCACTTGAGGTAGCTGCAGACATCCAAGGGTGCATCAGGCAGTAATGGGGTGGCCTACGTTCGTGGTCCCTAACCCATCTGCTACAAGGTACCTGGTTACTACTGTTGGCAGCTGGTGTGTCTTACATCCTTCCATGCCTGATGGGGTGGCCGCTCACCACTCAGTGCTATTTCCTCCTTTGGATGGAGTTCTCCTGCCTGACCCCCAGGAGAGAGCCCTAGGTACTCTAAGGTGGCACCAATGCCAGTTCAGGCAGACATGGTCAGAGAGGCAAGTGCAGAAGGCACCTGAGTCTATGGAGAACCCTGGCCAGGGCCACGTCACACAAGGCCACAGGGAAGAGGTGCTTGCGTGAGGATCCTCCTGGGAACACCACCCACTCTAACTATGGAACAGTCTAGGGCATGGGCACAATTAATCTGTGCCTTCATCCAACAGAGACTCTGATTTAGGCACTGCTCTGGGCACATCGGTACCACCAGTTCGTGGCCTCATTGGTGGTGAATGTTCACTGAATACATCATTACAAGCCCTTTTCCGTGTCCTAAGTGGGAGGGAGGAAGGGGTATGTTGGGGACCGTGGCAGCCTGGAGTCAGGAAAAGTCTTTCTGAGGAAGTGAGATTTCCATTAATCCTTGCAGGTGAACAGCAGTTTCCCAAGCCAAGAATGAGGGCTCAGGACGGAGGGGACCACCTGTGCTAGGACCCAGCAATGAGAGAGGGGGCTGCTTGTGAGGAAGAGTGGGGCCTGGACAGGGAGCTTGAGCTGGGCATGCACCAGATCTCCCTGAGAGAATTCAAGACGTTCCCCATGGGGCAGTTGGAAGTTCTGAAGGCCCCTAAGAAGGCCAGGGGTGTGCATTCTAGAGAAAGCACACTGGCTGCTGGCTGAGGATGCTGGAAGGGCATGAATGGATGTAGGAAGTCCAAGCTGGACCCCAATCCACAAGTGACTTCCTTAACCACCAATGTCTCCTGAGCCCACGTGGAGTCAAGCACCAGGGAAGAGGTCAGCATTGACTCTGCCTAGTCCTTGAGTTGGTCAAAGGAGGTATGGTCGCCCTCATTGTTGAACCAGGTAGAGAGGTTTAAGCAATGTGCCAGGACCATCCATGGGCCATGATGGGATTATAACTAGGGTGACCACCTTGGTTTGGTTTGCCAGGGATGTTCTGGTTTGCTGCTGAAAGCCTCTGTCCCAGGAAACCCGTCGGTCTGGACAGACTGGACATCTGGTCACCCTAACATAACTTCTGTCTCTTTTCACTACATCAAGGCAGGCCTGGACTCCTCCCATGGCAACCCTCACTGGCCCATGCGGCCAGACACGAGCTGGCCCTCTGGAAGCATCTCCTCTGAGCTGGGCAAGGCGAGAGGGAGAGAAGGGATGCTGGGATATGACAAGGCGAGTTTCCAGACAGAGGAACTATTTGTCATCACCTCACTGGGGAGGGCGCCTGGTTCCTAAATATTGCCTGTGATTTTGCTAAATGTATCTTAACAGGAGTGGTGTAAATGCTGTCAGAGATAGAGGGGGAGAGTGATGGCCCCATTCGGGATAATGAACTGCTTAGTTAAGATGAATCCGGCTCCATTCTTGATCCTGCTTCTTGATACCGTGCTTGGGGTCTTTCATGCAAAAGGCTGATTGGTGGCAAATTTAATGCAGAGAAAGACAGAGCTCCGTCTTTAGCTGGTGGCTGATTAATTGATGGATTCACTTCTCGGAGAAATGGTGTTGAGTCGTACCAGGAAGGAAGGGGGCAAGATTCGGGCTCAGTTGACATCTGACATGGGATTGATTGGAGCTGGAGGGCCCTAAAAATCCAGTTCACTCCTCATTTTAGAGTCAAGGACACTGAGGCCCAAAGACAGGGACAGCCTGCCTGAAGTCCCAGAGCTGGTTGGCAGCACAGCTGAGACCAGAACTCACATCTCTTTGGCCCCGTTGACTATGCTCACTGCCCCCTGGCTGGTGGATGAGCCTGTCTCCCCTGACCCCTGCCTGCTCGGCTGTCCCTTCCCACCAGCCCAGACCTGGGCAGTAGCGGGAAGTGGGGGGTGGTGGTGAGGGGGAGGAGAGATGGGTCCTGGGTCCTGCTCAGATCTCTTCTCTGTGATTTTCTGTCCTCTGCCTTGGGGGAAGGATGCCATGTGGGTCTCCCGGCCCTGATCCCTGGTCATCTCTGAATCTCCTACTCCTTGACCAATTTCCAGACGTCAGACTCCACTCGTCTCCCCCTCCCCCCACCCCCAGCCCCGTCCGGGACCATCTTCCCTCAGCTGGACAGTGGGATGTGAGTGGGAAGGAATGGAGGTCTGGGAAGGCAGGAAGCACGGTTCCCACTCACCCCGGTCAGGAGCGCCTCCCTATGTGGGTAGGGCTCATGGCAAGCAATACCCCAGAACATGCTTCACCCCACCCTGTGATTATTCCCATGTCCACATTACACATGAGGAAACTGAGTCCTGTGGCAGCCACCTAACTTGCCCAGGTCACTGCCGAGTGGTAGAGCAAGAAGCTTGAACCAGATAGCTGGCTTCAAATTTGTTGGAGGCATGTGGGCAGGAGAAGCAAGGGAGGAGTCTCCAGAGAAAGAACCAATCCAAGGCATTCAGAAGGTGATGGGGTTCAATGAGAGACGGACTCTGAAAAACAAACTGAGGGTTCTAGAGGGGAGGAGGGTAGGGGGATGGGTTAGCCTGGTGCTGGGTATTAAAGAGGGCACGCTCTGCATGGAGCACTGGGTGTTATGCACAAGCAGTGAATCATGGAACACTACATCAAAAACTAATGATGTAATGTATGGTGATTAACATAACAAAAAATTAAAAAAAAAAAAGAAGGTGATGGGGTTCAGTGGAAAAGGAGCTGGAGAAGTTTAGTCAGACCTAAAGGAGAACTTCCCTTGTGTTTTTCTCTTGCAAAAACCTCCTTGGCCACGAACCCTCGCCGTCCCCTCTCCTGTGCGTGTGTCTGCATCTGGGAAGGTGATTTCTCACCTGTGATCCAGGTGTTGATTGGCGCTGACGCAATCCTCACCTGGTACATCTATCAGAAAATTGCCTTGTCGCCTGCCTCTTTCCCCCGCCTCCCCCCCTCCCCCAGCTAGTGATCCTCCCTCCAGACCCGAGGCTGCTGCGCCCACACGTCACACATCACCTGAGGCTTGTCCTGGCCCTGAACCGCGGTTCCGCGGGGTGGCGGGATCCCCAGTGCCTACACGTAAGAAAGCTCCAAAAGCAGCGCTTGTCGAATCTCATTTTCATACTCTGCTGATATTAAGGGAGCTCGCATTCCAGAAGGAGAGGCAGATGTGCAAACAGACAACCACACTCCAGCCTGACACATGCAGCAAATGCGGCATCGTACAGGTTGTCGCGAGCGCTGGTGACTGAACGGGAGCCGGGGTGCTAAGACAGCTAGAACGTGGCGCAGGCACCCAGGGAGAAGGTTTTAGTCCCCGCGAGGTGGTACGAGCCCCTCCCTCTGCTTCCAGGGAGGCTAGGCTGGGAGCTGTCGCCGCTGGCCTCCACCTTCCGAGCAGGGGGCACCTCGGGAGGGGGAGACATAGTCCCTTCTGCCTCGGGTTAGAGACCTGTTCCTGTTCCTGCTGTGTGTTCCAAAGGACTGAGCAAGGCTGGGAGGAGGGGAGGCAGGCGGGACTCGGGGGCACCCCCGAGTGGGGTGAGTGCCTCCTCAGCTTTGCACACCCTCCCCTTCACACCTGCCCTGGTTCCACTCCTACAAGATGCTGAGTCAAAGACGGGATCCAGAGTGTACAGTGTTATGAAAAATGTCCTACCCTGGCCCAAATTGAGGGAGCACCCTGAGCACACTCCAGCTTCAGGGCCTTTGCCCATGCGGTGTTCTGCATCTGGAATGCTTTCCCCCTAGATACCTGCGTGGCTCACACTTAACTTTAGGTTGGCCCCCTCAGAGAGGCCTGGTGGGCCACGCATTCCAGAGCTGCCCCTGCCCTGCTGCTCCCTGATGCTTTACCCTGGTTTACGTTCTTCGTGACATTTGTTCCCACCTGCCGTATTTCCCCTCGTTCACTTTTTTGACTGTTGTCCCCTCTTCCGGAACGTCAGCTCTTTGAGAGCAGGACTTGCCTGTTCTTATGGTTTTATGTTTCGTGCCTGGAGCAGTGCCTTGTACTGCAAAGATTCCCAATAAATATTTTTTCACGAAGGAAGGCAAGACAGGAAGCTGGAAGGAGAGAAGTCTTGAGGGGGGAGCATGCTTAATTTTGTTCAGCGCCGTGTTGGTAATAATCTCATTGCCTGAAACGTCTAGTAGAAGCTCCCTCCTGTCTACACGCTCTGGGAAATGCAGTTTTAAGGCGTCAGAACCACCGCACTTATACGCCCACCTTCTAAATCTCCTCTTTGGGGGTCCCATGTGCCCCTGCCTGCCCCCCCCACCCGCAGCTGTGGAGGGGGCTCTTCACTGCTCTCACCCTGCATGCCCCTGAGTCCTGTTGCCCTGGACCATCTGCCTCACCTTGTGGTGCTCCTAACACAACCACCAGTTACCAGAGCTTCAGCTGTCCCCCCCGGTCCCCACTGGCTTCACACCTGTAACTCCCCCATGGTTTGCCAACAAATGGCGACCCTGCAAGCTGGCACCTCCATCCCACCGTGGCCCGCCTCACACACGCGTGAACCATCTGCACCCACCGTGGGCCGGCTGCAAGATTTACCCAACCGAGAATGTGTCCTTCCCACCTCCTTCGGGCGGGAAGGGGCCCCTCTCTGGTCTTGAGCTCCTCAGCCATCTGGCTTGCAGCTTCAAAGGTGAGACCCTCAGGGAAGGCAGCCCCACTGGACAGGTGAGCCAGGGGGTCCGCCCAGGGCTGGGAATGGCAGCGGACAGAATCAGATCCTGTACTTCCGTCACGGTCCTCCAGCAATACCCCCCCCCTTCCCCAGGGCTGGATGTGAAGTGTCTGCCAGCCCTTCCCTCCTTCTCCCATCATGAGAGAGGCTGTATAGAGCATGGGGGTCGGAATGGACCAGAAGGTTAGGCTTCAGTCCCAGCCCTGTCACCTATAGCTGTGTGATCTTGGTAATTACTCTGCCTCTCTGTTTTCCCATGAAAGTGGGAGTCATACCGTCCTAGGATTGTTGGGACAGGTAAATGAGTGAGTGTGTATTAAGCTCTTAGCCCAGTACCTGCCTCACAGTAGGTGCCATGGAAATGTGACCCATTATTACTATTTCCTGCTTAGGACTGACTTGCCGGGAGTCCTCTCGGTCATTGGGCTTCATCCCCCTGAGGGCAGCCTCCTCCTTTGTCATGGTTTGTGATGTGGCTGGGCTTGGGGACTTCCCTGATGGTCCAGGTTGGAAAGGTTTCCCTCGCTTCCACAGCCCCCTACCTTCACCCGCCCGCTGAGGGTGACCGGGTCATGAATCTGTCCCCAAACTGTGCATGCCTGGAGGACAAGGCAATGCTGAGACCTTTCTGTATCCTGGACCATGGCCTTGCTCAGAGCAGGTGGGAGCCAGCTTGGGGACTGAATGAATGACAAAAGGAGAGGACAGAATTGGTCCTTCCAGCTGGTTCCAGTCACTGCTCTCAAGGACCACGCAGGCTCTGTGGGGCTCCCAGGCAGCCTGACCTCCAGCCTAAGGTTGAGGCTCCCTGGAGGTGAGCCCCCTGCCTTACCCCTCACCCTGGCCTATTGGGACCTGAAGCCTGGTACCACACAAGTCGATTCTGACTCCACCTTCCAAATTGATCCTGCAGAGGTCGATTCTTGGTCCCCCCCCACCCCCTACCCCCCCAGCCCCAGGGAGTGATGTGACCATTAAGCTCCAGGCAGGGGTCAGGCCCCTGGGCTCGATCCGCTCAGGTTGCCTGCACAATTGAAATCCCTGAACCCATCCTGGCTAGTTTTCTCATTAAGACAATCGGACTGGATTGATCCATTAGATCAATGGCTGGCCATCAGCGGCAGGAAGCCAATCAGATGGGCCTAGATGATCAGCCCAAGAATGAGGTCCCTTACTGAGCTAGAGTGGGGCCTGGCCCTCTGGGATGGGGCTGTGGGAGGCAGCGGAGAGGGTCAGAGGCCTCACCAAGCTGGACTTGGGTGTGGGGACAGGAGTGTTCCCCAGGCTGTGGCTACCAGGGGCAGCTGGTGAGCGAGATGCAGCATCTGGGGCTTGCAGCGGGGTAGACTCCTTCCAAGATGGTCAGCTCATTGTCACCCCTCCACCACTGTGGCCTCAAGGGGAACCACCTCTCCCCTTGGGTGGCACGGTGTGTGAGATGGGAGATTTAGAGAGCTCCTCGGGGAGCTCTTCCCCCTTCATCAGCAGTAATTTGGCTATGAGGCTGGGAATGGAGGGGTCTGGGCACCTAGAACACCATTTCCTGATGTGGGTTCCATGGCACCCTGGCAGCACAAGATGCTGACGGGGCTTCAGGGATGGCTAAGAGAAATGCTGGGTTAGATGCGTTTCAGCATGCTCATTTCCCGTGGGGCTTAACTGGCTAATGCATATCAAGACCCCGTAAAAAGGTCGAAGGAGGTATTGTGTTTGACCACAGGACTGTTTCTCTGGGACATCTTGTAGAAATACCCTGAGGCATTTCCTCCAGCTGCCAACAGGTACTTTGAAGGAAAAATTGATGCCAAGAAGAACTGTTTCTGCAGGGATCTGCAGGAACCAGGGAGGTTCTCAGGGCGGAGATGTCAATGAGAAAGAAGAATGAGTGAGGAGCTGCGTTCAAGCGCATGGGCACTGATCACACAGTCTCCAGGGTGAACAGTGCCCCCTACAGTTGTGCTAACTCTCTCCGCACCCTGCCCCAGGCAGCCCAGCCCTTCTGCTCCTCCCATGGCCTCACCTCCTTTCTCCTTTTTCCCATAGGCTACCTGACTGTGAACATTGAGCCTCTCCCACCCGTGGTGGCTGGTGATGCCGTGACCTTGAAGTGTAACTTCAAGACAGATGGTCGCATGCGCGAGATCGTGTGGTACCGGGTAAGTCGCCACAGCTCTGCCCTCTGCGCCACAGCCAGGGCTGAAGGCAGAGTGCCCAGAACCCCTCTGGAGACCCTTGCAGGCTTGGCTATGTCCTTGGTCCCAGCTCTGTGTTGTCCTGTGCCCTCTGCCCAAACCCTTCTCCAAGAATGCTTTGCTCGGGCTTCTCCTCTGTCCTCAGGCTCTCTCTTATTCTGGTCTCCTTGGTGTCCCTAACATGCCCTTGTGCTCAGAAAACCCCAGCAGTACCAAGTGTGAGAACACTGTGGGCCCTGGTTGCTGTGTAACAAATAAGGAACATCGAAGGCTGGAATTTCAGGTGTGAGGCTTTGGGTGATGTTCTTGACAGAGCCCGGAGAAGACCAGGACAGCATCCTGCCTTCTTGAAACAAATTACAGACATAATCCGCCTTCTAACTCAAGTACATGTAGGACTATCCTGGTGCCTGGCACCCTGAGCTGGGTCTGAGGAGGGGTGCTCTTAGAGACACACAGATGCACACCTGTCCAGGGCCCAGCTGTTGGCAACAGGAGGACCAACTCTGGGCATGGGACACAAGTGTTGGCCTTTTCAGCCACTGATAAGAGCCTTCATGTGTCTGGGCCAGGCAGCCCAGCCTGGTGTCCCTTGGCCACAAGGGAGTCGGGGCTGGCAGGGCTCAGGAGAAGGTCCAGTTGGAATTGACGTTCTTGCAATGCCATGCTAAGGTTCGCACAGAGCAAGGTGCCGCCATCTTGGAAACAGGTTGGACAGAGAACTCCCCTTCCAGGATCTAAAACAGCGTTTGGCCACACGTTTCGGTGAGGTCCAGATAGTAAATGTTTTCCTCTCTGGGGACCGTATGGTCTCTGTCACAACGCCTCAGCTCTGCCATTACAGTGTGAAAACAGCCACAGACAATGTGTTAACGGGAGGCCATGGCTGGGTTCCAATAAATCTTTATTCATGGACATTGGGACTCGAATGTCATATCGTTTTTACATGTCACAAAATACTCTCCTTTTTTATATTTTCAACCATTCAAAGAAGTAAAAATACATTCTTGGTTCGTGGACTGTACAGAAACAGGCTGTAGGCTGCTGTGGTCCAGTGGCCATGGTTTGCCAACCCCTGATCTAAAACAACCCTTCTCTAACCTCTGTCTGCTGCATTGCCCTTTCTTCAGATGAAACCCGCAGATGACACAGTCGGGTGGAACTGCCCTGGATAGAGCGGATGGAGGTTGCCGATGGGGGGTGCAGAGTGCGGAGTGGGAAAAAGGGGTGGCATGGGCAATTTGAAGTTCAGGCTTCTAGAACTGGTTCCTTTACTCATTCACACTACTGCAGCAGGCACGGGGTGGGGCTTGGAAACCCTGCGTTAGAGAATCCCCCTGGGGCACACTCGCCATTCAATGCCCTGACTCAGAACTGCGTTCCTCAATCCTATTCTTGCTCTCGCCCCAGCCTTGGTTGGACCTTCCTGTCCTTGCTGGTCCTTCTTGCCTTCTTGGTCTTTGATTCATCATCTGCTGGTTTGTTGGCTGTGATTTGAGCTCCTTTTAACCAAAATCATTGTTCTCCATCTTAGCACTGTAGCCCCTCCCACTTAAAATTGCTTCTAACCACCCCCTCCCCCCCTGCTCTCTGGGCAGCCTGGGCCCCACAGGTGTGAACCTGGCATTCAGCATCCCACAAGGCCCCAGCGTTAGATGAGATTGCCATCCTGAATAGATCAACAGGCCTAGAGAAAGTCAAGGCATACGCTAAACAGTGCCATGAACTGAATCACTAAGAGGCGTATTTACATGATATGGGAGCTGCTTGGCTGACACACACTGCGAGCATCTCATTAGCAGCTGGCAGAAGGACGCTGCTAAATTAACTGCAGCTCACTTCTAATGACGGGACTGTCTCTCCCTCCACCATCCCTAGATGGGATCGGAATGAGGGGAGGCAAAAGACCCACCCAGCTGGCAGAGAGAAATACAGAGACCCAATGGGAACAGTTTAGGGGGGCGAATCTTGCAGACAGGGAACTATCAGTGTGCACCTCATTGCCTTGCCAGCCCTTGAAGCAACTATCCCCACTCTGGTTTGAAATGGAATTTCTGTTTTGGAGGGGGATGCCAGGGCCGGGGAAAGGCCAGCGCCAAACCCAGGTCTAGGAAGCCTGAACCAGGCTTCCACGTGGCTCCACCCTGTGTCCCCTGAAGATGGGGGAGAAGGCTGGGGCAGGACGAAGACGCCCAGTTTTCAGTCCAGACGTGGACTTTCCCTCCCCTTCTCTGCCACCAGTGCTGAGAATCCCCCATTATCAACCCCCCCCATCCCTCCCCACCCTAGCCTGCCATCCCGTTGATTGCCTTAAAAATCAGTTGCATCTCTTACGGTGTCAGGCCCTGTGTGTTGGGCTATGGTAGGCTGCACTAATTAATTTATTTTACTTCATTTCACATCCTTTGACTTCGAGCCTCTGGAGTGGGGAGGGGGTATGTAGATGTATGCAAATCACATGCAAATCGCCCACTGGAGCCAAATGTTTGGGCCCTTGTGCTTCTGTATCTGGATTGAGGGAGCAGGCTCAGTGGACTTGGAAGTCTCCTTGGGACCAGGGGAACCTCGCATGCCCTGTCTGTGATGGTGCGGATGGGGGCAGAGGCCGGGAGGGGGGTGGGGGGGACTCCAGGGAAGTGTCTCAATGCTGCCAGTTCTCTCTTCTGTCTGCTGCCGCTCTGGCCTTCCCTCACCCATCACCTCTTTTCCCAAGGAGGCAGCTGAATGGAGAGAGATAAGAGCTTACCAGGATGGGGGCTGCAGGAGCCAAGACTCCTTTTGGGGGAGGGGAAGGCAGGGTTTCTAGAGAATGTAGGAGATGCAGCAAGGGGAGCCCCACTCTCCTCCAGTCAGAACCCCCCACCAGACAAGCCCCTACATCTCCATTCTCCCACCTCCATCCCCCCACAGCTGCCCCCCCCAAACAGGGAGCTGCCCAGTGCTGTTTGTTTTCTGTACGTCTGTTTGCTTCCCCAGCTTCCTTTGCCCATCTTCTGTGAATGAGCTTACAGAGCCCGGCTTGGAAGGAAATGAATGGATTACACAGGCCCAGCCAGGGCTGTGTCTCCAATCTCTTTAGAAGGGAAAAGCAGGGCATTGTGGGGAGGCCACCACTGCCCCCTCAGCCCAGTGGGCACAAAATGGCCCAAGACGTGTAAAGCCCAGCAGCCTCCCCTCTGGTCCTGAAGACATTGTCTTAGCAATGGAATCATCCTGAGCTTTCAGAAATGTAATGAATGGATTGGATTCTTTGGGTAGATTGACAGAGCTGATGAAATTGTCTGAAGCAAAAGGGACCACTCCCTTGGGGTTAACAAGACCTCTGGCTGAACATTTGGGAAGGTCTTGCCATGTGGATGCCTTAGGGGTGGGGCAGGGGCAGGGGATGGAAGGAGGTGGCCAGGGCCTGAACCTTGGGCACTTTGCCCCACAGACTCCCCAGTTTGTAGAAGAAAGTGCCAAAACTATAGAATAGACTCAAGAAAGCATATGTGATCAGAGTCCCTGGGCCTGTGCTGTCCAATATGGCAGCCACTACTAGTCACATCGGCTATTTAAATTTAAATTGAATTAAATCAAATCAAATCAAATTAAATTAAAAAATCATGTCCTCAGTCAGCCTAGCCATATTTCAAGAGCTCACTAGCCACATGCAGTTGGTGGCTACCATGTTGGACAGGGTAGGTATAGAACATTTCCATCATCACAGAAGGTTCTATTGGACAGTCCGTTACAGATATTTGCAATTTTTTCTGAGGCCTCTGGAATATACTGTGCTTTCCTGGCAAGGGAATAACAGTGGACTGCTCATGGAGCCAGTTTTCCAGGCAAACTTACTCTAACATGAAGTTCTGAAAAATGAATTGTATTTGTTATGTAACCTGCCATCATTAGATTGGGGGGAGAGGCATGGGAGGGATAGGCAGAGTGACCATCATTCTCAGAAGACCTCTTTGAAAACAGATGTCAAGAGGGTTGTCAGGCACTTGAGGTGCTGGGTATTCTAGTTGTCTATCAAAGCCCTGTTCACCCTCAGGACACCTCACAGCCCTTCTCCCCATCTCTCCGTGCTCTCTCCACCATTGTATGGCTTCCTTTCCCAGATTTGAGTTTCCCAGACTTGCACTTTTTCCCCTAGAAATATGCAGAAGCTAATAGAGCAGGGGTGCAATTCCATACTTGGCCAGTAGGGGACAGTCACCTAAAAAGCAAACTACCCTAGCATTAAAGTCAGGACTTGGTTCTAGAAAACAAATGATTAATAATATCCTTTACTTAATGATTTCTGTCCATTCGCATCTATAACTGGGGACTCATTCAGTAATGCTGCAAATACGAATCTGAGGGGCTAACGTTATTTAGCCTTTACTATGTGCCAGGCACTGGATACATGACTACCTTTCATTTTCACGTCGGCACTGTGAGTTTGGGTCTATTGTTAATGCCTACTCTTCAGATGAGGAAACTGAGGCCATCCAAAGAGACCATGTCTCAGCTCATGTCGCCTTCCCTGACTTCCGCAGAGTTCTAGACACTCCCTCCTCTTTGCGTGTCTATAATCCAGCTCATACCTCTCTGTGTCAAAACACCTGTCTGTCAACTGGACGGTGAACATCCTCAAGGGCCAAGGCCAGACCTTTTCCCCACTGTATCCACAGAGTCACCTCAGTAAATGTTTGTTAAGTGACCAAGTGATAGAACTATAGATACAATTGCAGACCGTGCCACATGGCCCACCTGTGTTTCAGGTGGGGGTGTGTGTATAGCCAATAGTAACTGTCTGCGGGGGACAGAGGGTCTTTGTATGCTCAGGGGGCTTGGTGGCGTGTGGGGGAAAAAGGAACATTTCTTATTAGGGAATACCGTCTAAACTCATTTAGTTGGAGGTCACCTGCCCAGCAGGCAAAGCCAAAGATCTGTTTATATCATAGAAATCCATTAAACAGCCACAGAGAATCATGGGA